GTCCCCCAGGGTTGAGTGGGACCAGGGGACAGTGGGGCAGCCCAGGGAAGGGTCCCGGGGACAAGAAGCCAGGCTGAGCCCTGCAGTGGCACTCACCTCCCCTCTGGCACTGGCCTGGCCTGAAACCAGCACCTTGTGCCAGGAGAGATGACCCCAAGCTGGCTGAGCCCTCCGGGCTGATGGCCGCAGGATGCTGTGACCCACGTGGGACAGGTTTATTGCCAGCTGCTGAACACAATATCACCAAAGCAGTTTCCTGAGTCCCACTCCGACCCTGCTGCTCCCCATGCATATGCTCACAGGTCTGTGGTGTTGAAGGTCTGGTTGCTGTACGCCGTTTTGGAGGGCTCCTTCAGGTTCAGGGCAGCCACCAGCACCTCCTCGTCGGTGGGGTCTGTTGGCTGCTCTTTGCCCTGCTGCAGGAGGAGAGTGTGGTCAGAGGGGATGGGGACAGGGACACTCCCATCCTTCCCAGGACCTGGGGGCTGTCAGGGGGATGGAGAGGAAAGGACATGAGGGGTCCAGCAGCCCAGGGACCACAGCAGAGGAGGGGACACGGGGTGTGGTGGCAGGGCTTCCTGCTGGGCACCAGCAGGTCTTTGCACACTCACCTTGGCGTTGAAGTTGTCGTCCCTGGGTGCATTTACTGTGTTTTCATCCAGGGAATTCATGCTGTAGAGAGTGGAAGGTGGAGGGGTAGAAGTGGGCCCAGGCACTGGTGGAATGGGGACAGGTGATGGCCCCGTGGCCTTTGGGACCTGCCTGCAGAACTCACCTGGCCACAGAGGTGGAGTCGTCATGGAAGCCCAGGTCATGGGAGGGATCGAGCGAGATATTCAGCATGGGGTTGGCCCTGGCCAGGGGTGGGTGGCAGGTGAGTGACTGTCCCGTGGGGCTGTGAGGTCAGCCTGGGGCAGCCGTGTCCTCCAGGCAGGAGGGGTGTCACAGCGAGCCCTGCAGCCCCTGGGTGTGGGGACATGCCTGGGCTCCCCCTTCCTGCAGGGAGCTGCAGGGAGCCCCCCACTCACCCCTCAGCATTGTACTGGTTGGTCCCGGGGATGCCAGCTCCCGGCTGCACTGTGGCAGGGCTGAATGTTGTGGCCTCCTTCAGAGCCTTCATCGCGCTCAGCTTCCTCTTGTAGCTGCAAAGCCCAGGGGTGGGTGAGAGGGGCAGGGAGGAGCTGGGCCATGGGATGGGGTGGGGGGGGGTGGGACAGCAGGTAGGGAAGGGG